CTCACTTTTATGCATCTCATACTTGCATTTATAGCAATATAGATGACATAATAATGTACATTTAATAGGCTCAAAACTACACCATCAAAGTTCATACAATAAAGGCTTTTTAATGAAAAGATTAAAAACATTTCAAGAGGAAAGATTAAACTAGAAATTTTACTGTTATGAGTGATTAACTTTGCACAACAGTAGGTTGATCTCATGAGGAGTACGTAATGAGGCTCAAACAGTCATGCTCCCACTATGGGGTGGGGAGCATGCAATAGTTCTTATTAAAGGTGAGATGGTCAAGACATAAGTGTGAGATCAAGGGGAAAAGTAATGGGAGTGGGGCGTGGCCTTTTTGAAGACAAGAGATAAAGGAAATAAGAATGTGGCAAAGAATATTTAATGTGGTGAGATAGGATCTATTTATAGAATTTCCATGTATGGGCATTAAACCTAGATTAGATCTCAACCACCTATTGAGTGATCCAAAGGTTGAGAGAGGCCAAAGACCTAGCTTTATTAATGACCATTGATAGTTATCATATGGATGGTGATGATCAAGCACGTCCTTAACAACATCCCCATAAACAACCTCCAAAGGTCCAAAAATTGCATAAGTGCCCATCAAACCGTAATTTTCAATTTGAACACATCTCAACCTTTGATTTTCTAAACACATCCAACCATCACTTTTGATTTTGAACTTGAGGTTTGAAAACCAAAAGAGGGTGGCTCTATTCTTCCAACTAGTTGATTAAACTTGCACTCCACTTAACCTAATGAAGTGTCATTATCATGGGGGACATTATGTCATCTTATGTCATGGTGTATCCCCCTTATCCTCTTACCACCAATCACAACTACTCATTTTGAAATTCTAATGGTCCTCAAATCACAATTTTACAAGATTAAAGATTTTATGGAAAATATAAAATCTCTACACTCACACATGTGTTCCCACACATGTCACCACACGTGCCAAAAAACACACTTATCAAGATTATCTGCAATCAAACAAGGGCTTCACGTTAATGGTAGGGCTATCTACGTCATGCCCAGAGGGCCATGACGTAGTAGTTCTATGGTTTGCATGTGTGGCACACATTGGCCAATTGTGTGCCACACTCCACACGTGTGATCGTCCTCATTTGAAATTAGCATACACATGCCACACGTGCATCCCATAGGACTGCCATGTCATTGCCCAATGGGCATGATGTGGAAAGCCCAACCCTAGACATGAGACCCTTGTTTTGCTATAGCATATAACATCGACAAGTATAAAGTGCTTTATGGCACGTGTGAAGCACATGTGTGGTAACATGTGTGTGTTCACAAGTGGGAGTGTAGAGATTTTACAATTTCTATAAAATGTTTAATCTCTTAAGTTTGTAATTTCAGAACCCTTAGATTTTTAAAATTGAGTGTTATGATTGGTGTGAAGAGGATAAGGGGAACACACCTTCACATATGATGATGTAATATCCCCTCGTAATAATGATATTTCATTATCTTATGTAAGATACAAGTCTTAACAACTAAGGAAGTAAGGGGTGGCACTCCACCCTCATTAGGATTTTACAAACTGCAAATTAAATCAATGGTGGTGCATTATTGTTTTAAATATCTGTGGTTGAGTTGAATTTGAAAATTAGGGTTTATGGGCACTTGAGAAATTGTTGAAGTTTTGGAGGTCTTATGTGGGCATGGTGATAAGGGTATACTCAATCATCACCATCCATGTGATAGCCATCGATGGTGATTGACTGGTCCAGGTCTTTAGCCTCGCTCAACCCTTGGATCCCTCATTGGGTGGTTAAGATCGATTTAGGTTTTATGCACCACATGAAAATTCTACAACACTGCTTACCTTCGCTTTAACTCTCCATCTCTTCTCCTCAAGAGGCTCATGCCCACTCCATAGCCTTCTCCTTTTCCATCTCAAAATTCATGACTTTGAGTTTCTTACCTTCTACATAATTGCATGCCTTTCACCCTATGATCAAAGCATGATCATTAAAGCCTCATCATACACCTCTTCATTACTTAAGGCCGCCGTTATGACAACTTGACTGTTCTGGAATTTACTACAACAGTAAGCTATCTTGATCTAACTTTCTTCTTGAAGTGCGTTAGTGTTTGAGGTAAAGAGCATTTACTTTGTGCACTTTTGTTGGTGTAGCTTTAAGCTGATTAAATGCAAACCGTTGTGGCATCAATGTTGTTGGAAATGCAATTATATGATGCATAACAGTGAGCTCTTAGTGTGTTCCACGCACCAAGCTTAACCCCCTTGATCCCATAGGTGTTTGGATACTTCAACCAAACCCTAGAGCCTAAACCACACCATTTTGAGTCCTATGTCCCATTTAAAGTTGTTTTGGGCTCTTTATAAGAGTGAGAATTTCATGATGTGGTGGTAGTATGGTTGCTTCCCGATATTAGATCGAAACCACGCCCTTCTTGCACTACCGGTTCCAAGTGATAGCAATGGTTGTGATCATACCATTGCAGTATTCACACGGTAGTTGTTTGGAATCGGCTTCCCATAAGAAATATTAAACTCATGCACATTTACTTCTTAGTCTCTGAACCGGTGCTCAAGGAGTCGAACCAAGCCCCTAAGCCATGTGGATGGGAAGAGGCCCCTTTTTGGGGACAAGAATGGATCGAGTTCGGCAGTAGCCGTGCATACCATTTGAAGACAGGTCCAAAGAGGGTACTCCACTGGGCTAGACCCGAAAACCCAAATCCAATTTCTCAAACCAACCCAACATGGCCCCATATGAGTCACAAACTTCAATCAGGAAATGAGCAGACCAGTCAAAGCTAATTGATAGGTGGATGGATTCTAGGGTGTTCAGTGGATTACAGGTGCCCCTCAAGGACATGCACTCTTGTAGATGCGAGGGTCCTCTCTCAGCATGTGTACATAGTTGTGATCGGTGGATCTTTACCTCATCGGAATGGATTCCCAAAGTGGGACTGTCTGTACACACACTGTGAGCAAGCTACATATGTCAGCAATTTGGGCTTATGTCCTCTTACAGCGAGCTTTGCTCACACAAGGCTCATAATCAAAATATGTCAAACAATCCAGGATCCACTGATCCCTAAGCCACGACATGAGGCGAACCCTGACTAGAGGAAAACCCTCTATCCTCGCGGTTCATAATATGGTCCAAGAACTTCACCTCATTCAATCGGGGTTAGTTTGGCCTATCCGGATCGCAATACGCAAAGATTCCGATAGCCACTATGTTCCTAGTCACTTCCACTGTAATTATGAACAGTGTTTGCATTGCACACAAGGCCTTGAAAGGCCATAATTCCAACAATTTTCACTAGGGGTCTCTTGCTTTAGTCTTAGGCTGCTTTCCCAGCTGATCAACATTAATCCATACAAGGTTGGCCCCTCCTTGTGCCTTCTTACCATTGACTGGAAGCCATGGATCCTATGTTTTCGAGCTCGGGGGGGCTGCTTCAATTTTTGGCAAAGCTGCTGGTTTCTGAGAGAGAAAAATAATGGTTTAGAGAGCACATTGATTTGGTGGGAAGGGGTGCAAAAGTAAGATGCTTTGGGGTTTTGTTGAGAAAAAGGAAAGAAACAGGTGCTTGCTAGGTACTGCACAAAAGCTTGGGGGTTTGTTGAAAGGCAGCCTATATTATGGGGAAGGGATGCCAAAAAATTTCACATTTGTATACTTTATATAGTATTTGGATTCTTTCCAGAACAATGGCTATTCATTTCGCTGAGAGATGGTCATTTATCTGTCATACCAAACTCCCACACTGGTGACAGGATGCTATCACTGATATATCCTTGCTAGGTTCTTCACCAAAAATTTTGTCCTCGCTCATGCTAAGTGCCACATAATGCAGGGAATGCTAGTATCAAATTGCATATAACCTGTACTCTATCTTCATGAATCCATATTAACATGCTAAAAGCTACCTAAGACACATCCAGGTCCTTTACAAGTAAAAGAAAGTGTATTCAATAGTTTTATGGGAGCCATACAATGTTCTTCTTGGGATTTATTGCCCAGGAAGCACCACCGCACTTCCAATGGTAAAGTAGTAGTAACCCAATTCCTCCCCGTTGATGGTGGGTGTGGGCATGGGTGTGTGTGTGAGAGAGGTCAGAGAGAGAGAGCACCACTGCAATGTTCTGCTTGGGATTTATTTCCAGGAAGCACCACTGCACTTCCAATAGTAAAGAATAGTAGTAACCCCATCCCTCCCCCCTTGGTGTGTGTGTGTGTGCGTGTGTGTGTGTGTGAGAGAGAGAGAGAGAGAGAGAGAGAGAGAGAGAGAGTAGTTAGTTGTCGTCGTTCGTTCTTATTACTAGTACGTGTAGTTCGTTACGAGTAGTAGTTAGTTTACGTTACGTTAGGTTATTTATTACGTAGTATACGTAGTAGTTAGTAGTAGTAGAGAGAG